TTTCCTGGAAAAGGAGCGGGAGGAATCGTGAGCTTCGGGATCCGGTGCGGTTTCAAAGACAGATTCCAGTGCATAATAAAAAAATACAGGCAGTTCTTGACCTATAACCATTTATTTAGGGATGGATCAAAGTGATTTACGACCAATCCACTCACTTCCGACTGTCTCGCAGCACCTCCAGGGTCATGTGATCAGAATTTCGGTAATTGGCAACCAGCAATATTTCCCATAGTGGCAGTGTCCCGGGATCCATGTGATCACTATTTGTGATTGTCCCGCTCCTTTTCCAGGAAAGTGGGAACTCGGAGGTGATCCTGATGATCCTGGATCTTGCCAGCCTGAACTCCGTGCGAGCTTTTGCGCAGACCTTCTTAGCATCGGAGCCCCGTCTGGACATCCTCATCAACAACGCAGGTGGGGCCAGAGCAGACCCTCCCCAGGGTCTCCAGATGGGGAAAGGGGGGGGGAATATTGACCCGTCATAAGCCAAGGACTACCTATAATCTGCTTACTTTTCTGGCAGGGGTCTTTACGACTGGCCAAACTGCTGATGGCTTTGACATGGCCTTCCAGGTCAACCACTTGGGTCACTTCCTGCTGACCCACCTGCTCCTGGACCGGCTGAAGCGCTGCGCCCCGAGCCGGATCGTAATTCTGTCCTCGAGTGTGCATTTCTTGGGGAAGATCGACTTTCGGACCATCCACAAGCCGGGAAAGGGGTTATGGAAGATGCTAACATCCTACAACAGCAGCAAACTAGCCAACATGCTGCACGCCAGAGAGTTGGCCAACCGGCTGGAAGGAAACAACGTCACCTGCTACGCGGTTCATCCAGGTGAGTGGAAGTCCAGCTCCAAGGCCCCCCAGATGGAGCCCCACCCAAGTCCGTCTGGGGCGCCGCCAGGCATTTTTCTCCCAGTAGGGGCTCCCTCAACCCCAGGGGTGGGATTCAAATTTTTTAACAACCGGCTCTGTGGGCGTGGCTAGGTGGGTGTGGCCATATGGCTGGGTGGGCGTGGCTTTTTTGCAGCACCCTCCCGGTGCTCCATTTTTGGGCCTTCTGGGCCTCAGGGAAATCTAGTGGATGAGGCAGTAAGAGAGCGAGGGGGATCCTGGCACAGCTGATTGTTGGAACAGCTGATTGTCGGGGAGAAAAAAAGAAATACCTTAAGGAGCGACTGGGCGGGGAGAATGCAATCAGCTATGTCGCGCCTGCGCGAAAAGGACTGACTGGGCGGGGAGGGGAAGGGCGGGCGGAGAGGAGAATTGAACTACTGGCAGATGGCAGTCAGCAGAATTAGCCAGCAATACTGGTGCCAGTGGGATAGGCAGTCTTGATGGATCGGGAACAAATTGAGTAGCTGCTCCCATGGATTTGATGCCTGAGCTGGGGCTGGTTGGGTTGTGTTTTCCCCAAAATAAGACCCTGTCTTAATATTGCTTAGGGCACCTCGAAAACAGGCATAGGAATGCTTTATGAGTTGACATGCACTATTTTAACTAACTCGGGGAATAGACAGAAGATCATTATGTGGTATTATCTATTTGAATCTATTAGCCATGCAATGGCAATGGATTATAAGTGTGCAAGGCAGCACACAGATGTATACACAGACAAGCAAACATGCACACTCCCTTCATCCTTGCACACTCACTTCATTCTTGGGTCTTCCCAAAAATATTCAGAAGTTGCCCCAAGGCTGCCAAAGGGGCAACAGGGGTTGTGCGAAGGGTTCATTCGGGATCTTCTTCTCTTGAGTCACCCCAGAAGGTACTTCCTTCCATCCAGGGCCATTCACACAACCAACTCTGTTTTGCTTTCAGGATCTGTTAGAACCGAACTTGGTCGCTCTTTTCCACGATGGGTATTTCGGGTGTTTGGGTTCATGAAGCGGTTCAGACGAGATTGCAATGCGGGCGCCCAAACCTCCATCTACTGCGCCACCGAGGAGGGCATCGAGAGCCTGAGCGGGCGGTATTTTGTGGACTGCAGGCCGAAGGTGCCCTGGCCACAGGCCCGTGATGACCAAGTGGCCAAGAAGCTCTGGGAATTCAGCGAGAGGCTGCTGGGACTGACCACTTAAGGCGGGAAGAGACAGAGACTTCCGGTGAGGAGATATGGACGAACGGAGGTGCTGAAGCTCGCTCTGGGTTTCATGCTATCTCCTCTTGCTGTTGGAGTGACCCTTAGGGGTGCACGCATCTTGTAGAGAAGCGTGCCAGTGTGGGGAGACTCGAGTCACGGTGTGGAGAAGGTGATTCTCATCGCGACGCAGAGACCCTGTAGAGACTGACATCAAGAGACCGTCAGTAATGGCGGTTCTGAAGTCTGGATTGTTACATACAATCACCATACAAGACACCAACGCAACTGATTTTCGAATGTGGTAAATGTAATTTATATATGATTTAATTGATACACTAGTAAATATTGAAGTTTATATTTGGTTATAGCACAAAAAAAGGTGATAATTAATTAATTATTTAGGTATTGATATTTGATTATAGATGTTGATTATATTGAATTAAATAATTAATTGTGACTAATTGTGATGACTACAGATTAACTAATTAATTATTGTATAGCAAGGTTGATATATTTTCATTTGGATTTGTAAGTATTTGAAATATTATCTTATAACACTACTTTGAAATTAGGGATTTTATAGCATTTATAGATACACTGCTCAAAAAAATAAAGGGAACACTTAAACAGCACAATGTAACTCCAAGTCAATCCCACTTCTGTGAAATCATACTGTCCGGTGTATATAGATGAATAATATTTAAATTTAAATAGAGGAATTTGATATATTACTAAGATCTACAAATCCAGGAATTTGATTTAGAAAATAGTTCTAAAATTGTTCTGGAGAATATACACTGCTCAAAAAAATAAAGGGAATAATTGTAATTCCCCATAATTGCTTTGGGAATGTGCACCCGCGCACTGCTGCCAACGATTCTGAAATGTGCCATAGTGTCTTTTATATAACATTTCCCATGGAGTTTCATTAGTTGCTGAACTTCATAGTCTCTTCAGCAAATAATTGGCGCTTAAAATGGCCTCATCCCAATGTTGTTTACGCATTCCTGCATCTGCTCAGAGTGGAGCGGTGGCCTAGAGGTTGAGCCCTTGCCTCACAAATCAGGAGGCTGTGAGTTCGATCCTAGATATTTCTCTCTGGGCACACTGAGAATCCATCCTCTGAACAAAACTCTGCACTGGCGACAGGAAGAGCATCCGGCCACTCTGCTAGCTCCGTTCAGTTGGCCAGACTCCACCCAGCATGGGATTATGGGGTCATGAAAAGACAATGACGATAATTCCCGCATCTGCTATCGGTAGTAATATAACTTTCATAGTTTGTAAACACACAATTTTTGCGTTCAGAAACTCCATTCTCTGCCGGAGTGTAGCGGTTCGTTTTTCTATGGGTTATGTGCGTTCCTTTCTCACTCACTGCTGGAACGTGGAGAGCATGACTGACGACTCTGGGCTATGGAGGTGTCCCATTGGAGAATATGAATTACGATACAGCCAGGGGGTGGGGGGGAAACCAGGGTCAAGGGTGACAATGAATAATGTGCCTCAGAGTCGGCTGCACCCAGGCAATGCCAGCATGTTAACTCCTAATAAATCCTTTTTAAGTTTTGGAAGTTTGGCTTGGGACTCAGGATTTAAATGGGGGTGAGCCCTCTTGAGGCTTTTCCCTTACATATAATATATCTAGGCTCAGTTGCTTCTTCCTCCCCAGAATCTGCCCCATTTTATTCTGTTACGGAACCCCCCCTGCTGAAGGAGATTCGGCCTCCCCCAGTCTGAGCATTGAGGGGTGGCTGCTAAGGATGTCCCCCCCCCCGCCCTGCAACTCTTACCGCCCCAAAGAGACCCTTCAATAAAAGAGGTTGTGGCCTTCCTTTTCAGTAGTGGCCTTGATGCTTCAGGTAGTCCACAACTGGGACCAGAATTGCTATGGCTAAGCAGAGCAGTGGTTCAGTGGGGTTCATCTCCATTTTTTGCCATAGTTGTTAAGCGAATCACCCAGTCGTTAAGCGAATCCAGCTTCCCCCATTGACTTTGCTTGGCAGACAGTCAAAATTATGGATCACATGACCCCAGGTCGGTGCAACTTGTCATAAATCCATGCCGGTTGCCAAGTGCCCGAATTCTGATGATGTGAGCCCGAGGATGCTGTGGCAGTTGTAACCATGAGGACTGGTTGTAATGTAAGTCCCTTGTTAAAATGCTGTTGTAACTTCCAAGGGTCACTAAATGAAGTCAAGGATGAGACTAAGTGGGAGGTAACAGCCAACTCCTTGGATTCAGGAGAGAGAGACAAGATTCAGAAGGATTTCGACAGAGTTGAATTCAGGGCCCTATCCAGAGATGGTATTCAGCCAGTTCTGAGCAGTTCTGGAGAACCACCGGTAGCGGAAATTTTGAGTAACCGGCCAATCCCACCTCCCACTGAGTCCCAGCTGATCGGCTGGGTCTCCTTTGGTTGCCCTGCCCAGGAGAACGGAGCTGGAAAGCAGGTTAGTGGGCTGGGGAGGGAAGGGGATTTTGCA